GACATACAACAAATTATCCCAAACTTAGTAGCTCAACACACATACATACACACACACACACACACACACACACACACACGGAGAGAGAGAGAGAGAGAGAGAGAGAGAGAGAGAGGACGAGAGGACTCTCATGTGATCTCACAGTTCCTGTGGCCTAGAGTTTGGGTGCTGTTGAGCTGAGGCCTCTAGCTGAACCCCCAACAGCATTTCTCTTTCTACTTGAAAATCTGCAAGCTCATTGGTGTCACCATTCTTTGTTGACATGGAGAGAGAGGTCAAGTGAGCGGGGTGACTGAGTCAAAGCCCATAAGCCAGTGTCTCTCAGCACCAAGTCAGGTGCATTGAGACCCTTGGAACAGCAAAGAGACATTCCTGTTGCACACTGTGGGTGAAATAGGGCAGAAAATGTGGCAGCTGGTTGATAGGAAAGGAAGATACAAGAATTGAGACATTGAAACTGTAGCACCGGCAAAGACTAGTGGATTGAACTGACAATAGAACAGGCATAACTGTCAGAAGAAGTACAGCCAGATGCCCCTTAGAAGCAAGGATGGGGACACTCTGGCTCACTTAGTCTGAACACGTCAGCAGGAAAGACCAGTCAACAGAAATGACAGCATGTTTTGGTAAAGAAGAGAGTCATCCAATACAAGGGAAATCCTCAATGCAACAATGGACTCAGACATAATGGGAATCAAGAAGATGGCGAAGATTGGCCTGTACTTTCTTCTGTTGCACAGTAGGTAATTATGCTCTGCAGCGGACTCAATGACAACTAACAACAGCAGCAAACTTAACAACTTTTGTTGTTGCTGTCAGGTTCCCTCAGGTCAGTTCTGACTCAGCAGTCCTCTAGACAACAGAATGGAGCACAGCCTGGTCCCATGCCATCCTCACGGACGGTCATTGCTGTGCCTGACACTGTTGCAAGCACGGTGCCAACACAGCCTCTTGATGATCTTCTGGTTTATCAATGATCCTCTATTTTACCAAACACGACATCCTTGTTCAGGGACTATCCTCTTGTTATTGTATGTTCAAAGCATGGAAAAGAAATTTTCACCAATCTCACCTCTAAGAAGTATTCTAGTGGTGCTTCCCAAGGTGGATTTGTTCCTTCTTCTGGCAGTAATCAACACCATAATCCAAAGATATCAAAGTCTTACTTATTGTCTTGCTTTTTTTTTCTGTTATGTGCCCTTGTGACTAACTTATCTGATCCCTGTCCTATCTTAATCTTTGACACACTTGAGCCAATTACTGCACTCATGTGCCAATCCATCTCACTGAGGGTCTTTCTTACACTGACCCTCCACTTTTCTAAGCATGATGTCCCTTTCCAAGCAACAGGCCTTCATAACCACATGCCCAAAGTATCTGAGGTGAAGCTTTGCCATCTTTGCCACCAAGGAGTGCTCTGGCTGCACAATCTCCAAAATATATTTGTTTGTGCTTTTGGCCGTTCATGGGATATTCAGTACTCTTCTCCAACACCACAACTCAAGGGCACTGATTATTCTCTCATCCTTTTTCATTGTTCAGCTCTCAGACACATAGCAGGAGATTGGAAAGACCATGGCTTTACTCACGCATATCTTAGTTTTCAAAGTGAATTCATTACTCTTTAGAGCTTTGGAGGAGCTAACAGTAGACTTTCCCAATGCTATAGATCTTTTGATTTCCTGACTGCTGGTGCCAAGAGGATTGATTATGGATCCCAGTAAAATGAAATAGTTGACAACCTCTAGCTCTTTTCTCCATCTATCATGATATTGTCTATTAGCCCTATGATGGAGGTCTTTGTTCTACTGATATTGAGTTATAATCCATATTGAAGGCTACTATCCTAGGTAACTGAAAAGACCATGGCTTAGGTCAAGTATATATTAGTCCTCAAATTGAGATATTTGCTTTTTATTTTTTAAAAAGGTAAATTGCAACAGATTTCCCCAATGTAACTCATCATTGGATTTACTGACTGCTACTTCCATTTATGTTGATTGTGGATACAACTAAAATCAAACCAACTTTATTACAGTTTCTGTTTATCATGCTATCTCTTATCAGTCCATGTTTCTTTTCTTTTCTTTTTTCTCTTTTCCTTTCTTTTCATAGTGAGGTGGAATACATTCTTTAGTTTTCATAGGGTTTTCAAAGGCTTGTTATTTAGGAAATAGATGGCCAATTCTGCTTCCTAGTCTGTCTCAATCAGGGAGCTCCAATAAAACCTGTCCACCATGGGTAACCCTTATGGCATTTGACACATTAACCCCAAGTTGTCTCAGTACAGCAAACTGACAGACAAGTGTTGTATCTCTTAGAACAATGTTCTCCACAGACACAATTAACACCAGGCCTGAGAGCCACAGTGTGAGGATGGCACAGGATAGAACAGAGTTTGGTTCTTTTGTTCATAAAGTCACTATGAGTCAAACTCGACTTGACTTCACCTAACAACAACAGGAAGTGTTTCAAGTGCTATTGACTTTCAGCAAGCAAGAAAGTTTCATCTGCATGTGTTGGAGGTGCTGTTATATGCCCTTGAATCAGAAGCAACTCATAGCTGACCCTCCAGAGGATTTTCAGAGATTGTAAATTTCATAGGAGACTGTCCATATTTTTGACATGAAGCAGCTTGTGGATTTCAAATGTTTGCTTTTGGGTTGACAGCACAATTCAATACTCACCAGACCTCCAGAGCTCCCATCAGCATATAGCAAGTAGTCATTTAGTCTTCCACCAATCTCGATGTCATATTCTTCTATGAAATTTCAGCTTCCCAGATTATTTATTTAGCATACAGCTTGATTGAATAAGTATGGTGAAAGGATACAATTCTGACATATAACTTTCCTGATCTGAAAGGATACAATTCTGACGTACAACTTTCCTGATCAGTCATACAGTATCCCTTTGTTCTATTAAGAACAACAGCTTCTTTATTTATGACAGGTTATATGTTCTTAAATCTCCATTTTTAAAAATGTTATCCATAATTTATTATGATCCACACAGCTGTATACTTTCACATTGTCATTAAAACACAGGCAAACATTTTTCTGGTATTCTCTGTTTTCAGCTAAGATCCCTCTAACATCAGCAATCATAGCCTTTGTGCCCCATCTTCTTCTGAATCTTGACTATATTTCTGGCAGTTTCTTGTCAATGTAGAGCCACAAGCATTTTTTTTCCAATTATCTTCAGCAGAATTTTACTTGTATGTGACATTAATGACCTTGTTCAATGTCCATATTCTGTGGTTAACTCTTCTTTGGAATGGACACAAATATGGATCTTATCTAGTCAGTTGGCTATGTTACAGCCTTCCAAATTTATTTGCATAAATGTGTAAGTGCTTCCATTGTTTTATTTATTTTTTAAACATCTCAGTTGGTACTTCATGGATTCTTGATTTTCAACAATGCCTTTAGTGCAGCTATGGCTTCTTTAAAGACCATTCATACTTTATAATATCCCAAAATGGTTGACTATGGATCAGTTCTTCAGAATTGTGACTGTTCTATTCTCTCCATTTGCTTTTGATGCTTCTTATGCTATTCAATATTGTATCGCTATTACAACTTGAGGCTTGGATTTTTCCTGCAAGTCTTTCAGCTTGAGAAACGCTGAGTGTATTCTTTTATTTAAAATAATTATTTTATTATTTTTGTGTGAGTGTACCGTCAAATCAGATCTGACTGGTACACTCTTCCCCGGCAGAGCATCTGGTGGATTCGAACCGTGAGCTCTGGGATTGTAGTTGCAGCTCCTTGCCACTAGGCCACCAGAGCTCTCCACTGAGTGTATTCTTATTTGATTTTCTAACTCCAGGTCATTGCACAGTTCTTTAGAATACTTCATTTTGTCTTCTTGAGCCACCTTTGAAATCTTTAACAAAATTGTATACACAATAAGATTTTAATTTCTTAAAGCAGATATGGGGAAAATAGTAACTGAAATTCTAGAACAACAATTTTGAGTTGGTGGAAGGAAGTATGATTTTTACATTCCTTCTTAAAATCTCCTTTAATATAGTTGTACAGCTTTTGCACAGTTTAAAATGATAAAACATTTACACTGACGTTAGACTAATAACAAGCAGCCCAGTTCTGGGAAAGGTATTCTGGAACCTTCTCTGTGACAGGAACCCATTCTGGCCACATCTGCAGCACCCTTTCCCCCAGTTTGGATAAAAGACTGTTCTGTGAATAATTTTTGTTCACACTGTTTCAAATAGTAAAAAAGAAATTTTCTTTAAAAATATTCTTCTATTTGGGTAGGGTGAGAGGAAAGAGAGGGTACATCAAGGACTAGATGAGATGTTATAATAAAAGGCTTTGGTCAATTTTAATTAGTAATGTCAAACAAAATGTATATCAATGATTGAGTTAAAAACCAATAAAATATACCAAAAAATGAACATTATGAGGAAGACAGTATGCCAGACAAGGTGAACAGGAGGGACGATTCCACGTGAAGGCGCTGGGACTGGCAACCAACAAATAATACTTTAGGGAAATCTGTTTTGAACGCAACCTTCTTCCTTTTCCGACGTTTCCAACTATGCTGCAATTTTGTTCTGTGGTCAGAACTATGACCCACTCTAAGCAAGTGAAAATATCCATGACTTTGTGAAGAAGTCGAAAGACAGACAGACTCCTCCCCTAGCTTAACAGCATGTATGCCCTGTCAAAGCAGATGTAGGGAGTAGTGGTTTTCTCTCTCAGGAAGATTCTAGATGGAAAGGACCCCAAAGAGGGCTTTGGTGAGTCACTCAGCTTTTGGAACCACACCCCCCTCTGCTCAGTTTGCCTCAGCCTGGGCCGCCCCTCAGGCCCCAGCCTCCTCCTCCTCCCTCGCCCCTCCCTGCTTCCCTCCCTGCCTGGGCTGTAACTTCAGCAAAGAGCCTAACGCTGCCTCCCTCCTCTCTCTCCCCTCCTTCTCTCTCCAGGCCGGCCGACCTTCTCCGGAGCAGTGGGAACCCGCGGCCGGCCAACGACATGAAGCTGGTCCGCGCCCTGCTGCCCCTGCTCCTGCAGGCCTGCTGGGCCGCCGCCCAGGACGATCCCTCCAACAACAAGGCCATTGCGTTCCAAGGTGAGTGGACCCCCCCCCCATTCTTGGTCTTGTGCTTTCTGCCACCGGAGGAGACCCCATCTCCTCACCTTTCCTGAAAGCTGAAGTTGAGGAGGCCTGCTAGGGGATGTTAAAGGTTTCACCCAACCCCAGGAAGGACTCTGGTCTGTGTCAAGTGTCTCCACCTCTGAAAGGACATTAGCCTGGGTAGGTTCCAGGGCACCCACTGGGGAGACACAGCTGATAGCATAGTTCTGGTCCCATTGGTTTGTTTAGTTTGATTTTGCATGGATGTGGGCTAATCTTTTGCCTTAAAGATCACTGCGATGGCCAAGACCTGGTCTTTTATAGTTAATCTCCTTTGATTTCTTGCCTGACAGTCCATTGTGAAATGTGGTCACCTGTTCAAATCATACTTTCTCCCCTGCTGCCCAAAGATCATGTCTTTGATAGTTCTGAAACTGATTTGAAAACTCCTTGGGGAAGGAGGTCTTAGTTGTCAAGTCCACAGGATGGGACATTCTCACCCTTCTGGGGGGTTGATTGTAAGAGAGATGTTGTGACTCCAAGTAAGGTGCAGTTTCAGGCATAAGCAGGGGTCTCTGCTGGAGGTGGGACTTTTACCTCAGAGGATGATGTGATTGTGCAGATGGGAAGGTGGCTGTGGTGCTGTGATTGATGAGAATAGAAGGGGCAGATGGTAAGATTCCCCAGGGTGTAAGGCTGAAGCCCCTCTTTTTCCCATTTGCACCCAGATTGCCCAGTGGACTTGTTCTTTGTCCTGGACACCTCTGAAAGCGTGGCCTTGAGGCTAAAGCCCTATGGGGCCCTGGTAGACAAGGTGAAGACCTTCACCAAACGTTTTATTGACAACCTGAGAGACAGGTAAGAACGTAGCACACCCTGACATTCCCTCCTCCTGCATCTGTACTGAGTCCCTCAGAGAGAAAAACCAGGGCATGGGAGGCCTGGAGCCTGGTATCACTCCACTAGTTCCCAGCAGTGAAAGGCCAGACATCAGTTCCCCATCTAAGGAGAGAGACTGTGGGTCATATGGCTCAAAATTCCCTCCCTAGGTCCTAAGAGGAGTGAGGGTAACACGGAGCATCACAGCCTCCTGGGGGCAGAGCAGGCTGTGGCCATCACTCAGTCAGTTGGGACTAGCGAGGGCTATGTTGAGAGTGGGCTGACTGCATCCCCAAAATAAAACCAGAAAAGGTATCTTTCCGCGAACAGGAGGAGCAGGTTTAGGTAAACTGTCAAGAAATCAGTAAAGCATGCATTTCAGCTTGCTGGCTGCAGAGGGCGCCCCTCTTTAACACCAAGAACAGACGCCCAAGTGCAAGACTTCTCTATCAGATGCCACTAGCGAAGCTGACCTGCCTCAGTCATTTCTGTGAGAAGCAAAGACCCTAGATCTCTGGAGCCATAACCAGACAGACTTGGTTCTGTGGCTTGAGATGTGGCGTATCCATCATCCATTCACACACTCACTTACCTATTCAACCAGTGAATCCATGCAAGTTTTGACTGATGGACTTGCTAGGCCAAGCTGATGGGTGCAGGAAGGCATGCATTAGGGAGTGCTGAGTCTCGTGTACAGAATGTGGTCGCAGTCCTAAAGACCAGGGTCATGGAGAAGGGTGCAGTAGATCTCCTCGCTTGTACCAAGGGAGCCCCACCACACCACAATTGGTGAGGGACAAGCACAAGGTCTCCTCAAAAGCAGCCCCCCAAGCCTTCTCCCTGTCAAATATCACTGACTGGATTCAGAAGGGGGCCTTGAGCTTCTCAGGAAGGGCAATAGAAGCCATGTTTTTCCACCCCTGAGGGACGAGACACTCAGCACACCTTGGGGACCCGAGCTACCAGTTGACGTGAAATGCCCATGGCCATGGACCCTGCAGAGGACAGATTTGGCTCAGTGATGATGATGGGTGGGGTGGGGACTTAGATGTGGGCGAGGCCAGGAGGAGCTTTGCCAACTATGCGGCTCTGCTACGGCAACCCTCTTGAACCATCATTGGCTTCTGTGGCTCTCAGTTCTCCCATCTATAAAACTGGGTACAACTCTGTTATTGGTGTTAGTCTGCAAGTGGGGCAGGATCACTTATAAGCCTTGACCAGAGCAGGCCGTGAGCCCTGGACTTCTCTCCGAGAGTGAAGGGCTGACCCCCAATATTACCTACCCATACAGCTCTGACTAAGATGTCACCTGCCTCCTTCTTCTCACATCTGGATATCTCCTTCCTTTCCTTTCTACTATGACCCGCCCTTTTCCCCTGTCCTGGCTGGTGTCCACTGCTCCTCCTTACCCTGTACCCCCACTACTCATGCCATCTCCTATGGCGAAGCTCATGCTGTCCACTCTTTCTCTGAACTGTCTTGTGTGTGACTTTTTTGCTCGAATGAGTCTATGGTGACCATGGTAGCGTGCGCCGTGGGGTGATGCCTGCACTGGGGGCCGCGGACGGTCCCACTCAGGCACTCACCCTCCCCACCCCCTCTGGGGCTCGCAGGTACTACCGATGTGACCGCAACCTGGTGTGGAACGCGGGCGCGCTGCACTACAGCGACGAGGTGGAGATCATCAGCGGGCTGACGCGCATGCCGAGCGGCCGCGATGAGCTCAAGAGCAGCGTGGACAAAGTCAGATACTTTGGCAAAGGCACCTTCACCGACTGCGCCATCAAGAAGGGGCTGGAGGAGCTGCTCGTCGGGTGAGTGGGGGGATGGCCTCTGCCACGTGCGACTTCACTGTAGTCCTGGTGGCCGCCTTGCCCCGCCTCACACACTGTCCTCGGTTAGGTGTGAGGTGCGGGTGTGTGGGCTGCACACCCTCCGCTTCAGTTAACTCGTTTTTGTCACTGGGTGAGCTGTGACCAGAGTAGGGTTAAATGGCTGTCCTTTGGTACACCATGTAATGCAGAAGAAGATCAAGACAGAGACACAAACAGGGAGATAGAGTCGGGGGAAGAAGGTATGGAGGGAGGAGCTGGTTTCCTATAGAAAACAGACAGTATTGACAGAGGGAGTGGTCGGTTCTCAGGGGAAGTGATATGCACATTTAGTAGATAGTAGTGACTGGGAACTCCAGTGGCTAAATGGTAAAAAAGTTTGCTGACAATGCAAAGGTAAACAGTTCGAATCCACCAGATGCTCTTCAGGAGGAAGATTGGTTATCTCCCATGTAGTGATTGGTCAGTAACAGGGTGCACACAGTTAATCCCACAAAAGGGTTGGCCCACACCTGTACACAGCTGCCCAAGGTGGACAGATTCCCAGAAGTCCTCTCTAGTAGCCCTGTGGTGGGGCCGTGGATGAGATTGTGGAGTTGGTGGGGACAGGATCCAGAGGAGGAGGAGATGGCTTCTCGGGCTCTACAGCCTGGCCACTGGCCCTCGGTCACTTTGTTTGCAGTTAACCTGACCCGCCAGCATGGCTGCTTCTCATTACTCAGAGGCTGGGCCGCTGGGCCCACTCTGGGGTTGAGTCACCAGAACCAGCTGGCTGACCTTCAGGCCATATTTTCTATTGGGAAAATATTCCGATGCTCTGTGGGTTTTAAGCTTCTTGGTGCTGCTATGACAGAAATACCATGAGTGGGTGACTTAAACCAATTGAAACATATTTCCTCATGGGGGCCAGAATTTAGGGCACTGACCCTAGGGGAAGGCTTCATCGCTCTGTTGTCTCTGGGGTGTGTTTCTCCCTATCAAGTTTCTGTCCGTCTGCTTCTTGACCATCTTCATGTTTCATGACATCTGATGTCCCCCAGCTGTGCTTTCTTCTCTTGGTACCTCCTTAGTTCCTTTCATATCTCACTAGAAATTGGCTTAAGAGATATATATATATATATATATAAAATCTCATTAACACAACAAAGAAATCTTATTTTCAAATACGATTACAACCACAGGTAAAGGAGCTGGAATTTACAGCACGTATTTTGGGGAGAGGTACAATTCAGTCCATAAAAGGGAGCATTCTCCTTGAATGTACTCACCCTTCTGTGTCCATCCAAGTGTGGAAGGACACAGCCCACTCCCACTGCCACTATGACTGAGGTGATACGCAGGTGCTGTGTGGACTCTGTGGGATCAAGGTGACGTTTGAGGAAGGCCACCTGGGTTTGTGCCCATGAAGAGGGAAGATGGGCACCCCTGGCTGGCTCCGCATGGCCCCTCAGCTGCCCCTGTGAAAGCATACTTTCATGCACAATTGCATCCACGTCAGAATAGATAGATTTGATTCATGTAACTTAGCACTTAGGCCGAGGGGTTTCTTCTCAGAATGCCCCACTGAAAGGAGGAGAGTGTTGATGGGCAAAGCTGTACCTCTGTGGTTGAGTCACTGGGAGGAGAGCGTGGCCTCCCCAAGCCAGTGCCTTCTCCACAGTAGAAAATAACCCAAGGGAACTCAGAAGGCAAGGTGGACACCAGGATTGCTCTGTCGCACTCATTGGCTCCACAGTTGATTTTGGCTGCAGAGTGAGCTGGCCAAGGAGGCACTGGAAGGAGGGGGTGTGGGAGGAGGAGGGGGACACTGAGAGTGGGAGGTGCTGGGACAGAGGTGGTGGCCAGGGAGGAAGCACTAGTTACTACACCATCTTTCCTTCCCGTTTGGTCTGGAAGAAGCCCCAGTGTGTCAAGTGTGGGCTGGAGAGGACAGGCTTCCTTTGAGGCTTGGTAAATCCTTCTGATTTAAAACTTAGCAGGGAGTCCGCTGGGGAAGGAAGGCTCCTTGGCGGCACCGTGTATGAACTACCAGGCTACTAACCGAAATGTCAGTAGTTTGAATTTACTAACTCCTCCCATAAAGATTTGACATTCAGTAACCTGATTCAGAACTGATTCAACAGTGCTGGGTTTGAGGGAGTTGTTGTTATGTACTTTTGAGTCAGAAGTGACTCATAACTGACCCTCCAGCAGGTTGTCAGAAGCAATAAATCACTCAGGAGAAGACTTGAGGGAGTAGGAGTCTGAATCCACAGGGCTCTCATTTTATCTTTGTAGAGGGGCTCTAAGGCCTAGGCTGTGTTCAGGGACGTGGTGGGAGAACCTGATCATTCAGCCCCATCAAGAGGAATACTGTTCTCCCTAAAGTTGTTTATTTAAAGAGCCTGGAGGCATAGGGCTTGGGCTTGAAGTATTAGTCTATTAACAGAAAGATCCACAGTTCTAATCCACCAGCTGCTCCGTGGGAGAAAAATGGGCTGTCTCCTTATAAAGACTTACAGCCTCAGAAATGCGATGGACGGTCACTGTGAACCAGAATCAACTCTCAGGCAGCGAGCTTGGTCTTTTGTTTTTAACACGTTTGGTAAATGTGTCCATTGTTCCTGAAACTACTCTTTCGAGTATTTCCATGTGGTCTAAGAAGAAAATAGACTCTATTTGTGCTTTCTATTTTACTTCTTCTTAACTCCCTTTTTCCTTGATAACAGGCCTCGTTTTGTGTTTAGAAATAGTTTGTGTTTGAGGTTATTTATGGATTATCCTATTATTGTCCACTTGCCACAAAAGTAAAGGTTGCCTAAACAATGGTAAGTTTCAGCACTGTACTGGTGAGTCAGCTGAACCAGCTCAGGGGAGGTCATACTTGAGGAGCCCTGGGCACTTGCTCAGAGGCCAGCACCTTGGGGTCCCTTCTGCAGTGAGGCCAATGTGTCTCTATGCTGGTGCACATGCATGTTTCACAGCATTTGTAGAGACATGTAATTCCAGCAAACTATTTTCTGTGTCAAACTCTTTAAAAATAATTTTCAGTAAGTAGCCAAAATTGGGAAGGGTGTACGTCAGGGGTGTGTCCTATCTCCCTATCTTTTCAACCTGTATGCAGAACATATTGTCAGGGAGGCTGGGCTCTATGAGGAGAAATGTGGTGTCAGGATTGGTGGAAGATAAATCAACAATCTGCGTTATGCAGATGACACAACCCTGCTTGCTGAAACTGAGGAGGACCTGAAGTGCTTGCTGCAGAGGGTCAAAGACTGAAGCCTTCATTATGGATTGAGGCTCAATATCAAGAAGACAAAGATTCTCATTACTGAACCAATTGGCAGCATCAGGATGGATGGTGAAGAGATTGAGATTGTTCAGAGCTTTAATTTGTTTGGCTCCACAGTCAACACTCTTGGCACCAGCAGCCAGGAAATTAAAAGGTGTATTGCGATGGGAAAGTCTGCTATTAGGGACCTCTCCAAAGTACTAAAGAGCAATGGTGTCTCTCTGGAGACTAAGGTGCGTCTGATACAGGCCATGGTCTTTGCAATCACTTGTTATGCGTCAGACAGTTGGACAGTGACTAAGGAGGATAGAAGGGGAATTGATGCCTTTGAGCTGTGGTGCTGGAGAAGAGTATTGAGGGTACCATTGACTGCGAGGAAAATGAACAGATTTGTCCTGGAGAGGGTTAAACCAGGTGGCTCCTTGGAGGCAAGGATTCTGAGGCTCCGTCTAACATATTTTGGACATGTTGTGAGGAGAGACAGGTCCTTGGAGAGGGACATCATGCTTGGGAGGGTGGAGAGACAGTGCTGGAGAGGAAGACCCTCGATGAGACGGATTAATTAATTGACTGGGGTGGCAGTAGGTGTGTTGGAGACAGTGAGATTGGCACAGGATATATCAGGGTTTAGAGCTGTTGTACATAGGGTCGCTCTGTGTCGCAGGCGACTTGATGGCACATAACAACAAAAACAACAGCAAGTAGCTAAGGTCAACAAAAAGAAACAATAAGGACCAAATGTAACAGATGAGAAGTCACGTCACAAAGCTGCATGGTGGGCCCTGCCCCTGCCCATCACCCCATTTCCTGGGGTCTCTGCCCTGCGGTCCTCTTTGAGGACTCTGGGGGTGAGAGGGCACTGACATACCTGAGCAGGAGAGCCTGGTGTCCAGGGTAGTTGTGACAGTGCTCCACCCTTCCAGGGGCTCCCACTTGAAGGAGAACAAGTACCTGATCGTGGTGACGGACGGACACCCCCTGGAGGGCTACAAGGAGCCGTGCGGCGGCCTGGAGGATGCGGTCAATGAGGCCAAGCACCTGGGGGTCAAAGTCTTCTCAGTGGCCATCACACCTGACCACCTGGTAGGACCCTGCTGTACCCCTTCATGTTTCCCGCAAACATCGGCTGGGGTGCGGGAGCGAGATGGGGTCTGCAGAGGACCAGCACCCCTAATCTGCATGACACCTGGATGAGTTGTGGTGGTTGCAGGCTCTGCCATCCCCATGCCCCCTGCCCAGGTCTAGGATCCACCTCAAAGTCCCCCCACCTTCCCAGGTGTTCCCCAGAACAAGGACACCTCAAGCAGGCCAAGCTTTTGCAGTCCGAGTCCCTGGGTTCCATGAGTCAGGACTCTGGACTTCTGGAGGCTCAGGTTTGGGGGCCAGGCAGGTGAGCTGTGCCAGGCTGTGACCTCAGTGTCTCCTCCTTTTTTGGACCACACCCGACTCAGGAACCCAGGCTGAGCATCATCGCCTCTGACCACACGTATCGGCGCAACTTCACGGCGGCCGACTGGGACCAGACGAGGGACGCGGAGGAGGTCATCACCCAGACCATCGACACCATCATCGACATGATTGTGAGTGCTGCACCCCGAGGGCTTGTCGGGCTTGTCGGGGACGCCCGAAACTTCTGGGCTCATGAATGAATGTTAACTCAACCCCTCCGTCTCACTTTTCAGAAAAACAACGTGGAACAAGTGGTAAGAAGCCCCTGTGTCCTTTCAGCTGCCCCAGCCCCTCCTGACCCCTTACCCCACCCCCACCTCCACGCCCATCCTCTCCAGGTGATGAATTGGCCTAGGAGTTTCTGGGGTCACAGGTCACAGCTCCCTCCACCCAGCGCAATGGGATAGGGGTTGGGGGACCATCTGCACCTCAGTGTCTAACTTGTGGTCCTTTTCCTTCCGCAGTGCTGCTCCTTTGAATGCCAGGTGAGTGTGCACAGCGACCCCCTCAGGGCTCTGGGCTGTCCTGTTCCTGACTCTATCTCACACTGACTGTCCCTTGTGTCTTGCAGCCTGCCAGAGGCCCTCCTGGACCCAGGGGCGACCCTGGTTATGAGGTGAGTGGCTGTGCCAGCTCTGAGCTTGCACCCAGGCGGAAGGATAAGGTAGGACCCCAGCACCCAGTGTCCACTCTGTGCTGGGCTGGATGTAGCAGGTGGTTAAAGGAGCCTGACACTGAAGGAGATGTCCCTGAGTCCTGAGAATGACAGCCAGGGGGCTGTATGCAGTGTGGCAGCTCCCAGCCCCCTTCCTAGTGGTTGGAAGTGGGAGAAATGTGCCGTTCATGGTAGAGGCTGGGGCCCTTCTGAAGGGGGTTCTCCACAATGTGCACCAGCACCTGCCTTCCCCTGAGCCTGCTGCTGGAACAGGCTGGAAACACTGGGAGCTCACACATCAAAGCTCAAATTTCTGGGCTCGGTCTTCACAGACAATCACCCTCAGGCCTGGCCAGTGGAAGAGGGGTCAGGTTCATGGTTTGGAAACCTGAGGTGGGCAAAATAACACATGGCTCTGAGCTCTGACTCTGGGATGAGCCTAGACTGTTCAGGATGGTGCCAAAGCCAGGGAACTTGACAAGTCAGAATTCCCTCACCAACTCCCTGACGTTTGTTTTCCAGGGTGAACGTGGGAAGCCGGGACTCCCAGGAGAGAAGGGTGAAGCTGGAGACCCTGTGAGTGCTGACCAGCAGGGGACTGAGGGCCCTGGGGTGCATTAAAGAGGGCAGGCGGGCAGGCAGAGGAATGTTCTAGAAGGTTGACTTGTTTCTAAGTGGATCATGATCAGGAAATGAGCACAGAATTCTTCCCAAACACCATAGACTTTGCCTATACTTGGGGTGGGGGAAGATGGCAAGATGGGGCCCACAATGGACGAGTGAAACCACAAGGATGCTGTAGGCCAACGTGACCTCCCCACATACTCCCGGCTCTCCCCCGAGCATCCCCAAGGCCTCACTCATCTTCACCCTCTGGGCACACGGGGGCTCACCTACAGTGCTGGCCCCAGATCACAGAGTCAGAACTCCTGCTCCCACTACCATGTGTCCCCTCAGCCAGCTCACCCCTCCCTGACCAGGGGGCCTAGTGTGGACTCGTGGGCACCTCCTAAGCCAGTGAGGGGGCACAGGTCAACCTGCCAGGTGTCTGACATGCCCCCTGCTCTCTGTCCCAGGGAAGACCGGGTGACCTTGGACCTGTTGGCTACCAGGGGATGAAGGTGAGTCCCCCACCCCTGCCCACAGGGCTGCCCAGGGCTGAGCTCTCAGGTCGGCCCTCACAGCCTCTTCTCTTCTCTTTGATGGTGTTTAGGGAGAAAAAGGAAGTCGTGGGGAGAAGGTGAGCAAGACTCAGGGTCCAGAGCCTCCCTCTGGTCTCAGGCTGGTGCCCTTTGGTTCGGGCAGGTCTGGGGATGTGACCTGGTGCAGTCCGCCCCACACTGATCGGTCAGCATGAAGCCCTTGCTGCTGTGAGGCCCTAACACAGGAGCAGAGGTCGGCCAATGTCCCCAACACGAGGAGGTGTGGGGTACACCCCACTCATAATTTCTGCCCTCTGCATTCCTGGGGGACTCTGCCAGTTACCTGGTGAGCTGTGTCTGCAGTTTTATTGTCACTGTCTTTGGGGACTCTGGGATCTCCAAGCTATGACCCAGTGGTTCTTGTCAGGCCTTCAAGAAAGGCACGTTTTGGAATTGTGCTTTCCCTCCCTCCCTTCATCTTCCCTGGTTTGGCGTCACTCTGACTCCTCTGGAGTGGATGTCCTGCCACTGGGCCCTGTTCGCTGTTGACTCGAGCAGGACTTCCTCACTGGCCCCACACTGGGCTAATCCAAAGCAGGGGGTCTTCTCACGGGCTCTGCCCTTCCTCACTGTCCTTCCTGTGTCCACAGGGCTCAAGAGGACCCAAGGGCTACAAGGTGAGTTGTGAGTCACGAACATGAGAGTGTGTGTGTGTGTGTGTGTGTGTGTGTGTGTGAGGGGGACATGGTTCTGCCCTTGGAAGGGTGCTGTGCATCCTGGCCTGACTTCTTCTTTTATCTCTGTGCCTCACAGGGCGAGAAGGGCAAGCGAGGCATCGACGGTGTGGACGGCATGAAGGTGACTCCTGGTGGTGGGGTACTGTGGGTGATGTGGGTGCAGGGCCCGTGCACAGTGCCAGGTCCCTGCCCTAGGAAGGGGAGGCATGGAGCCCCAAGAACGGATATTCTCCAAATGACTCTGAGAGGTTTTTCTTGTGGATATTGTTTTCCAATCCCCCGGTCCTAGTGAACCCCAAGCTGCATACCTAAGCGTGGAGTGTCTTCTAGGCTTAGGGGTTTTCCTGAGAGGGGCATTGCAGAGGGATGGATGGGCAGATCCTCAGGGTTTGAAGCAGAATCTCTTCATAATCTTGTCATTCTTCCATTTTCCCAGGGGGAAATGGGGTACCCAGGGCTGCCAGGCTGCAAGGGCTCACCTGGATTTGACGTAAGTCTCTCTTCTCCTGTGCACTTTTAGGGGTGATGACTGGCTCCCCTGTTTTTTCTGACACTGGGAGGATACCCCACAGAGCACACAGTGTGCACACTCCACCTTTAAGTGGATTTGTCTTTACATTCTGTCTCTGGTGATGGGGAGGCTCTGAGTGCTTTGTGAGGCCGCCTCAGCTTCTGCTGTGCATTGCCACAATGCTGTCTTTTCACAGGGCATTCAAGGGCCCCCTGGACCCAAAGGAGACCCAGGCGCATTTGGACTGAAAGGAGAAAAGGTCAGTGACCTGTGTCCCTCAGGGCTGCTCCTGTCCACCAGGTATTCATCCAGGGACTATCATTGGAGTAGAGTCTCCAGCAGCAGTTAAGCGGTGGGTGCCTGATCTGCAGCCTGGCTGTACCCTGAGGCCCCTGCAGGAGGAAGCAGCCGGAGTCACCTTTACTCTGGGGACATCTGGGGAGTGGCTGCAGATGCCCTAACAGGAGCAGAGTCATGAATGGATTCTCAGTCCAGGCTCACCCATTTGTGTGAGCCCCAGTTCTCTCTGCTCTGTCACTCAGAAGCAGAAGGGAAGAAAGCCATGAGAAGCCCCTTCTCAACTGCCTGATGGAGGCGCTCCTGCAGAGGCCGCAGTTCAGCCAGGACAGTGTAATAGGGAGGTGCTGGTCGCCGCTCCACATGGAGGGTGAACTTCCCAAGGTGATCCAAAGCTGAGGTCCTCATTGCTGGCATTTCCTTCTGAGGTTTCCTGTTACAAAAGGAAGTCAAGGAAAGAGGAAGGAAAAAGATGTTGGCTCATCCTCAAATTTGCTCTGAAATGTATTTCTTGGGTTTCAGCAAAAGAGCTTCAGAATCTTGTTTCCGTGCTCAAAGATTACCCTGTGGGTCTGGCTTTGAGCTTACCAGTCCAGCACTTTGGCCAAACTATACTTTCTTGAAGAAAACCTTACAAACATTTATTTGAATCCATCCAGAGTTGCCTCAGAAGAAAGGCCTGGCTGTCCCCATGGTGTCATCTCACACTGTGGTTGACTCCATGGCCACTGATTCATAGTCCTGTGTGCCCAACTCATAGCAGGCCCTCCAGCTGGTTTTCAGAGGCTATAAATCACATGGGAGGAGACTGCCCATCTTTCTCTTGTGGAGCAACTGGTGGATCTGAGCTGTCCACCTTTGGGTTGGCAGCACAACTCCTTACTCACTATTGTTGTTACATACCATCCAGTCAGAGCCAACTCGTAACTGACCCTGCAGTGGGTTTTCAGAGGCCGTGAATTTTATGGAAGAGACTGCTCATCTTTCTCCAGTGAAGCAGCTGGTGGATTCAAACCGCCTGCCTTCAGGTTGCCAGTGCAACTCCTTTCCCACTAGGCCACCAGTGCTTACAGTAAAATGAAAATATCCAAGTTTGATTTTGCCTTGAAGAAGATGGGTTGAATCTTTGAGAGCCAGAGGCACAGATAGCAGTGGTCAGAGTGGCCTGGAGCCCAGGTGAGGGGACCAGAGAATAAAGGGCCTATGAGACACCCTGAAGTGGCCTCACAGCGGGGAGACAGCTGCCTCACCTGCAGGTAGCATGCTTGCCCTCAAAGCTCCATGGAGGTCACTGACTGCACCATCCTGTGAGGGTCTGTAACCCTGAACTTCTCTGCTTTATCCCAGGGCGAGCCTGGAGCAGATGGGGAGCCTGGGAGACAAGGGAACACAGGGCCCCCTGGAGACGAGGTAAGGAGTGGAGCCCAGGACCCTGAGAGGGAGTCAGTGTGAACTGAGGGGATGTGCCAAGCCAGGGTCAGAGGAGTAAGCATCCCAATCTGTCCCTGCCTTAGGGTGAGCCGGGACAGCCTGGTCCCCCAGGAGAGAAAGGAGAAGCCGGGGATGAGGTAAGCAGCACCCCAGAGCATGCCTCTTCTGCTCCCCACCCCCAAGACTGTTCACAGGCTCCGACTACTAACTGATACTTGTCTGTTCATTTTCCTCACAGGGGAACTCGGGACCTGATGGCCCTCCTGGGGAGAGGGTGAGTACCAGGGGTGGGGTTTGGGAGCCACATGAAAGGCTGGCATCTGTCTGGTGCTGCCAAAGCCCACTGACTGCCCTTCACACAATCCCGAGCCTCAAGGGTTTCCTCACCAGACTAAAAACCCCTCCCCAGATCCTTGTTACAGTGACACAGAGACATAGAAGTTGGGCAGAAATAACCTTCAGCTACTGATTGGATGGTTTTAATCCCATGAGGAGTCCCTGGAAGTGCACTTGACACATTTTGTTGCTAACTGAAAGGATGGAGATTTGACTCCACCCAGAGGTGTCTCAGAAGTAAGGCCTGGCAATCTGTTGCAACAAAACCAGCCAGGTTTGAGAGCCCTGTGGGATCAAACTGACAGCAGCTGGATGGCTTTAATCCTGTGAGCCTGCAGTGTGGACGAGCTACTTGGGTTCTTGTAGACACACAGCCTCAAGGGCTCTGGAAGTAGATGGACCCTGATGAGCAGGGAGACTCTAACCTCTGAAATAAAGGATATGAAGTGGAGAGGTGACACCAGTCTATGGGGTGGGGGAGGTAGACCTGAGATTGTCAGGCCTGGGAGCCCCATTACATTCTGCAACTCCTTACTTTTCTCTGCACAGGGTGGCCCTGGAGAAAGAGGACCACGGGGGACACCTGGCGTGCGGGGCCCCAGAGGAGACCCAGTGAGTCACATTCTAAGGCTTCCTTTCCTGGGGTCATTGGGCAGGGACTGGGCCATCAGAGCTGCAAGGAATGGGCCATCAGAGTCTCAAGCACATGCTCCAAACCCAGGTCCCACTGGCCACATGCTCATCTCTGTTTCCCCAAATAAAGACAGTTCCCTCCCTGACCACCTGCAGGGAGTTCAGGGTCAGACCCCTAAGTCTGAGCAGTACCCCCAGCCCCTGTCGTCTCAGAGGTCTGCCTAGCTTTGAAGGAGCAGGGGGTGATCTTGGCCAAAGCTTGAAGCTCACAAGTTAATACAGAGTAAGCATCTGGCCCTTCCTCCCTCACAGACACCCACCGGGGGTCTGCTTCATGCCCAGCAAACACCTTCTTCCAACATGTACTGACAAAAAAAGAACCTAAATAAATATCCTTAATCAGACTTAATTTTTAAAAATTATCCCTAGTTAAATTTTTGCTTTCTGACCCCTTGACAGTGTGTAATGGAGGCCCCATCAAGAACCCATGTGTTCTGTTCCCAAGCCCATGCTTTCTCCTCAGGCTACAAAGGCTCTGTGACTGTCACATAACCAGCCACGTGTTTACATGCAGGGCAGAGCACAGTTTACTAGTCCCCACCCACCCCCACTTGTTTAGAATTTTCTGAACATTTGCGTTCCCCCCAGCAACTCTGAAAACATCTGTGCAGACAGAGCCTGCAGTCTTCTTTGTTATCATTTCTGTCTGTGGAAACTGCAGAAGTGGAGGTGTTGAGTCAAGCCCCAAACGGGAGACTAGGCCAGCAAGGTGCCAGCCACAGAAAACCTCTACTGGAGAGGTGGTGGCAGGAATGGGGCTGTAGCAACCACCCCTTCACAGGGACTCAGCCTCCCCCACAGGGATCCACTCCCACCCACCACGTGGTCCAGCACCCCACTCCCCACCTCCCACCCCCACCCTTGCCAGCCTGGATGCTCCACAGAGGTCTCTCTGCCCGAAATTCCTGGGGAAGTTTTGCTGGACCCTGAGGGTGGGAGGCCAGGCCGACCCTCACACCCACCCAGCCCACCCAGGGAGTGCTCAGCCCAGGATACTGAGAGGGGGGAAGAGTGACTGTCTGCAGGTAGAGTCACAGGCTACAGAGGCAATACCAGGCCTCTCCTGTCACACATTGTGCACACATTTTGGTCCCATTTGGATTCTGGAGAACAGGACCCTTTGGCTCTGTGGAATGCCCAAAACGAAACATGGATCCCTCTTAATAGAACCTCCCAGAACCCTGAGATTATGGGGTGGGGGCAGAGGGAAGAGTGAGTCACTGATTGGTGGCTGGTGAGCCCATCCAATACCTAGGACAGAGGCTTGGCTCAGGGTAAAGTAGGGGTTTTTGTTCCCTGGAGAGGAACTGTAGAACTTCTTATGGGAGGAAGTACCCCAGAGATAATGTGGCCTTTGACATCTCCTCCCCAACCATCTCTGAGAACAGAAGATGGAAGATGGGCCCAGGGGAGGGTCAGGGACTGGAACTTGGATGCTGGGCCAGTTCCCAAACCTCAGAAATTGAGGATGTAGGAAACCCTGTAACAGAGGATTGGATAGATGAGGCCTTTGGTGTGTCCTCTGAAGAGCTCACCATCTCTGGCAAAAATTAGATCGTGGAGAGGAGGGGCAGCAGCCAGCACTGAGTCTGAGGGTCACCCCCCTGCCCTGCTCTGCTGAGCCCCACCATGCTGCCCTCTCCTCCCATCCACACCACTGGTCTCATGAGGTGTGCACCCCCCAACAGCTGAAGGCTGAGGCTTCTGGCTGTGCAGCCAGACCTTGTACTCAGAGGACTTGTCTCCTCAGGGTGAAGCTGGACCGCAAGGTGACCAGGGAAGAGAAGGCCCTGTTGGCGTCACTGGGGACCCGGTAAGGACCTGGGCTGGTTGTTGGCGGGGGCATTGCATCCCCAGTGAGACGAGTTGACTAGCCTGGTCTCTGAGGTAGAAGAGCTCCAGTGAGTGTGTCGCTTTCTGTTGGCCTCGTGGTCCCTTCTGCAGTGGCTGCTGGGAGTTCCTGGTGGGTGAAATGACCAGAATCTGGAGCCAGTGGAAAAGGTTAAGAATGACAGCCCAGAGCTGGGGAAGGTGAACATGGGGGGTGGTCCTGTGGGGCTTGGTTCTCAATCATGGCACCTCAGAAGCCGACTCCATGGGCCCCTCCACAGTACCTGGAACACAAGGTGCAGGAAGCCATGGCAGGAGGAGCACGCAGCCGCTGCTTGTTGCCTGGGCTTGGAACCAGGTGTGAGATTCTGGTCAGAGGTATATTTAAGAGTATCAGTACGTGGAAGGCTCTAGAATCTCCAGATGTGAAAGAGTCCTTCCAGGATGGTGCCAGAGAAGGGAAGAGGTACGAGCCAGAGAAGAACAGAGTTTGGCATGGGGAGAAGGCTGAGTGAAAGGAGGGTCGGGGTACCCATCCTGACCACTCTTCCCTCAGAGAACATGCTTGTGTCCTCCTTCCAAAACACCTGGCTTGGCCAGGTAGAGCAGAGAGAGGGCAGGGACGCAGAGGAGGGGTGGAAGGAACGTGCCATCAATGTGCATGGAACTCACTGAGCAAGTGAGACTGGTCGTGTGGGCTTGAGAGTGGTCACCACAGACCCACTACTGTCCCTGGGCCTCAGCCTGGAGCTGCTGCTGGCCCCTTCTGGACTAGCTGTCCTGTAAGCGTTCCCCGATCCCCACTCCAGGGTTCCCGTGTACCTCCTCAAGCCTACAACCTGGCCTTTTCTAGAGAAGTTTGGTCTCCCTTGGCTGCCATTAACAGCATTCTGCAAACTGGATGATGAATGATCAGACATTTATTTTCTCACAGTTCTTGAGGTTAAAAGTTCAAATTCAGGACTTGGGTGAGCTGTGCTCTCTTTCCACTCTGAGGAAGGATCTCTTCTCATCTCTCTTAGCTCTGAGGGCCACAGACGCCGCTTGCAGTTCCTGTGAGTATGGGAACATCTTCACATGGTGCCTTCCCTGTGACCTCTCTGTGTCCCATCATGTGGACAACCTTGGCTAGGGTTCAGACTTATCTACTCATGTTAACCTAAGTGACAATTTCTGCAAAGACCCTATTCCCAAACAAGGATCTTTACAGGCATGGGGGTTAGGACTCAAAACCTGAAGCAGGTAGAAGACCATGTCTGTTGAATAGAACCCATCAGTCCTCTGTATTTCACCTGATGGTTCCCTGGGAGCCCTAGGACAGAGTCTAGGTGGCACTTACACACATTGCTAGACCAAAAAGTAGTTGTATGGACAGAATGAGGGAAAATTGTATGGTTTAAAATTGAAAAAGGTGTGTGTCAGGATGGTATTTTTTCTCCATTCCTATTCAACCTGTATGCTGAGAAAATCTTTTAAGAAACCATGCTATATGAATAGAAATGTGACATCAGGCTTAGAGGAAGACTATCAACAACCTGTGCTATGGAGATGACACAGCCTTGCTCACAGAAAGTGATGGAGACGTGGAACACTTTAGCGTAGAAGATCAAAGACTACAGCCTTCAATATGGCTTACACCTCAACATCAAGAAAACAAAAATCTTCACCTCTGGTTTAGTAGGCAACATCATGATGGATAGAGAGAAGATAGAAGTTGTCAACTGTGTCATTTTACTTGGATTCACAATCAACGCCCATGGTAGCATCAGTCAAGAAATCAAAAGGCGTGTTGTAGGGGGGAAAATCTGCTATCAAGGACCTCTCCAAAGTGCTAAAGGGCAAGGATGTCAGTTTAAAGACCAAGATATCCTTCATCCAAGCCAGTGTCTTTTCAGTTGCTTACTCTGCATCGAAAAGCTTGACAATGAAAAGACAGAAGAATTGATGTGTTTGACCTGTGGTGTTGGTGAAGAGTATTGAATATATCCCATGACCCAAAGAACCAACAAATCTGTCTTGAAGGAAGTGCAACCAGAGAGCTCCTTACAGGCAAGAATTATGGAACTTTATTTCACTTAGTTTAAGCATATTTTCTGAAGGAACCAGTCTTTGGAGAAAGCCATCCTAAAAGAGAAGACCCTCAACAACATGGATTGACACAGTGACTACTGCAGTGGGCTTGAGCGCGACAGAGGTCACGAGGATGGCACAAGAAGGGTGGCCAGGTTCAGGCACATTGTTTGTAGGGTCACTGTAAGTCGTAGTCGACTTGATGGCACCTAACAAGAACACTTCCCACGATTCTCCTCACCTTCCTAGAGAGGATCGCAGACCAACTCCTTAGGTACCCATCTCCCATCTTCCTGAGTTGACTGCTTGAAGTGCCTCAGCTAGTTATGTGCTCTGTCATGACTTCCATTATGTGTTCTTTGGTTTTGCATTGGCTGCCTGCCCATAAGCCCCACCTTCCTCTTGTCCCTTCATCTAGAACACTAAACATTGGGTCAGGCAGGTGCCCATCAAAGAGAGGGCTTTACCATGTGGATTTTCACTGGTTATTCCCACACCCTGTCGTGGAACCATCTGTAGGGTAGGGTGTGCCACTTTGCCCGTGCGTGGAGGGTGTTGGAGGACGCCGCCTTTGAGCTGTGCCTGTGAGGCATCGGAGGGTGAGGTGAGGGAGGGACGCCGGCCACCAGGGTGTGGATGTTGGAGAGCACAGAGCTGGGTCTGTGAGATGGAGAGACCAAGGTAGCCGGAGGGATTGCTGCTACGCAATGGGGCTGAGTGGACACAGGGCAGGGTGGCCACAGGCTTTGAAGAGGCTTGATCTTGTCTGCAAGGTTTTTTATTTCTTTTCTTTTAGAGAGAAATTAGTAATTATACCTTAAAAAGAGAGAGGGAATGGAAAAATAGTAGTAGTGGCTACTCAATGGCAGTTTGTGAATCCTCCTGACCAAACATTAATGTAGCACCTTGGGCCCATTCCCGGGAGAGGGTGGAGAGGGGCACTGACCCGTTTGTGAGATAAACATGGAAACAGCTCAAGATGGCAGGAAGGGCTCTGTGGAAAACTTTTCTCACACACGATTTCAAGTTTCAACCTTCAAGGCCATCTGTCTGAGGAATGGGTCTGCCTTCCCCAGCCTGGACCACGTGTACACAAGGCGGCATCTGGCGGGCTCTGGGGCTGCGGCCGCCTGGAACTTGGGCTGCCGGCCGAGGGGACCAGCGCGTGACTGTTTCTGGTTCTCCTCCTTCTTGGCAGTATAAGAGGGGTAATGTGTCTCAAATAAAATAAGGCTTAGGAGTACTTTGAGCACTTTGAGACTTTTATATGAAAAAAAGTCATTGCACCAGGTTTTGTGTGCTTCGAATAGAGGAAATACATTTGCATGGCTGCAAACAACAGCTAGCTTCCACAAGACGAAGAGAAAGAAGAGCCCGAGTTTCCCTCCCTCGCTGGGTCACTAGGCCGGTGTCTCCAGTGTGGCAACTCATGGTGTCCCCTCCCCAGGGGCTTCCTCCTTAAACAGTCTATCCAGAATCCTGAGTAAGGCTTACTATCAAATTTAATCACAGAATAGTGTGTGACTTAGTTGTAAATTGCTTAAATTCCATATTTCTCACATTATTTAAATACTAACAAAATTGTAAAGTCTTTTGCACTCAGATACTTTACTAGTAACTGAATAGAAACACCCCCCCCCCATTTTCTCCTTCTTTTCCTTAAATTTTTGCTTCATTATAAAAAAAAAACAGTTTTTGGTACAGGCTCACAAATATTAATTAATTGTCACAGTATTATAGCTAAAATACCAGAAAATTTTTACAAAGTCAGTGACTATATCACCAGCAACAATAAAAATAGCCGTGTGTGTTTGTAACATGCACAGATGAAGCCAGGCAATTTGAAGCTTCAGTCTAATTGAACGGAGGGACAGCTTGACCCATGTGCCTTTGTTGTTATGTTGTCATGCAATTCCAAGTCAGAGCAGATGCACAGCTAACCCTCCGGCCGGTCTTCAGAGGTGGTAAATGGTACAGGATTCAGCCCATATTTCTCCTGCAGAGCAGGTGGTGGATTAGAACCTCATGTCCTCAGATTGGCAGCGCAGCTCCTTACCACTAGGCCCTCAGGCACAGGAGAAGGCTCAAAAAGTCAATTCATATAAAATTTTAGTCTTGTAAATGTATTGATACATGTAGGCTAGGCTTACACAATAGGTTTCTGTTGTAGTAACTATGAGATTTTCTTAAAGGTTTTTTTTTATAAAAAAAAGTTTTATTTTGTTAAATACATTTCTGCTGAAATAGTACACAAACATTTTATAGCCAGTTATTTTGGTGTTATTCCCTCTAGTGTACCTGGGGGTGCCATTGGTTTTCTTTTCTCTCTCCCTCCCTTCCTCACCCACTCCCTGCCATAAGGTTAATTCCCACTCACAGCAAACCTACAAGACCGAGTGGAATTGCCCATAATGTTTCTGGGGCTGTATATCTTTATGGGCGCACACGGCCTTGTCTTGCTTTCTTGGACTGTCGGTGGGTTCGAACAGTCAGCCTTTTGGTTAACAGCCTACCGTTTCATCAGCTGCACCACTAGTACCCCTTCTCTCTCACTTACGAGAGTAAATTTTAGTTGCTTGTGATTTCTTCTAGAAAAAGTACAAAGTATGTGTGAGAGTATGCCATTATTTATACAGATACGCATATTGTGATGCATGTCTCACAGAATTCATCTTGGATGTTATCCAGCTCATTCTTTTTATAGTTTCATAGGATCCCATGGTGTTAGCGTAATAGTACTGCTTATGCAGGCCTCTACTAATGAACTTAGCTAACATGTCCAGTATCTTGCTTTATAGAAAAAAATATTGCAGTAAGTACCTTTCTCTTTGCCTGACAGCCTATCTATTCATCCATCTGTATATCTACCTGTCTAGCTATTCATCCACCCACCCACTCATCCATCCGTCTATTAATCCCTCCACTCATTTGCCCACCTATCATCTATCTCTCCCTCCATCTACCCAGTAGTCTAGCCATCTTTTATCTGTTCATTCCCCTTCTCATTCACCCATCAGCTGTCCATATACTTATCTATCTAACCATTTATCATCTGTTACATATGTTACATACAGATCTACCCATCCACCCACCTCTCTCTCCACCTATTCACTTGCCGTTCCATCAAGTTATCTGTTTATCATTTATTTATTGATCTATCCATCTACTCATCTCTTGATCTATCGTGTATATTTTCATTCATCTACTCATCCTTCCACTTGTCAGTCCACCTATTATCTATCGATTCATCCATTCAGGTAACCATCCATCCATCCATCCATCCATCCATCCATCCATCCATCCATCCATTTCCCTACTTTTCAGCTGTCTATTTATCCCTCTATTACCCACCATTTATTAATCTACTTACCTATCATTAACTATATCTATCTTGAAATATGTCCAGAGATCTAGTAAAAAAAGTAAGACATCAGAATGTCTTGATCAAGTTTTGTATGTGTGTTCATTTAACAAATCTATGAAAATGTAGTCTCAACTTACAGTCTTGAAAGAATGTAAAATACTGTCTCTGTTCCATATCTTCACCAACACTAGATATGATCAAACGTCAAAAGTAGGCATTTGCATGTGCTTCTAGAGTAGAGGTGCATGTCCTGTCTTGGTTAATGACTACATTTATACCCTCTCAGGTCCTTATGCTGTTGCTTGTTCTCCTCCAGTTCATGCAGCATGTTTTCAATGGATTTCCCATGTTCCTTGTGGTTGTTATCTACTTTGAGATTTCTCCCTCAAATTTTCATCTGTGTTTTTACTTTATGGGCACTCTAAAAGTTGAGGAAGTTGTTTTTAGGCCTGGCCATAAATACATTTATCCTTTTCTCTGTGGCTTTTTTAAAAAAAAGTTTTGCTCACTTACAGATTGCAAACACATCTGTGTATTTTTGTTGTATTTAAACATTTTAGAGCTTGTGTTGTTGGGTTAAAAATGACATGAGTTCTAACTTGACTTCTTCTGCAACTGGTAAGCCAGCTGTCACAGGCAATTTCTTTCTCCCGGTGGTTAAAATGTACCTTAGTCTTGCTCTAAGCTTTCTTTTCCTATGTGTGTCTGTTCAGGAACTGCTCTTGGATACCTTTGCTCTTTTTGTCTCTTGATTTCAACTAGTGTAATTATTGTAGTTTACAGTATGCTCTAATGGAGTCTCTGCATGATGCAAGCTGTTGAACACATTTGGCTGCAATCTAGAAGGTTGGTGGTTCAAATCTACTGGAGGCTCTTTGACAGAAGAGTCTGGTAACATTGACTTCTAAACATCAGTTATTGAAACCCTATAGGGCACAATTCTGTCTGATACCACTGGGGCTGACATGAGTTGGTGATGAGTTGATGAGAGAGGGTAAAATACTTTCGTTCCAGGCTAGTTTGTCCTGCTTCCCCATGCTTCCAGGCCGCCCTGCTTTTCTCAGGCACTAAAGACTATCTCCAGATAGTCAGCCAGAGACGCAGTAGAGCCTTGCTCTTGGAGGTGGTATATTTTTAGGATATAATAACCTTTACACTGAGTATTTGTGGTTGCTAAAGAAAGATTCTCATCACTGGGCCAATTGGTAACATCATAATAGACTGAAGAGATTGAGATTGTTAACAGCTTTAGTCTGCTTGGCTCCACAGTCAACACTCTTGGTACCAGCAGCCAGAAATTAAAAAAAAAAAAAGAATTGGGAAAGTCTGCTGTCAGAGACCTCCCCAGAGTACTGAAGAGCAACGATGTCAGTCTGGAGACTAAAGTGCACCTGATCCAGGCAATAATCTTTGCAATTACTTGTTATGTGTCAGAAAGCTGAACAATGACTAGGGATAATAGGAGAATTGATGCTTTTGATCTGTAGTGCTGAAAAAGAGTATTGAATATACCATGAACTGCTAGGATAACAAGCTGGTTCATCTTAGAAACCAGGCTTCTTCTTGGAAGGCAGGATTCTGAAGCTCTGTCTGACATACTTTAGACATTTTCAAGGAATGACCAGTCCTTGGAGAGGGACATCATGTTTGGGAGGGTGGAGAGACTGAACAAGAGAGGAAGACCCTTGATGAGATGGATTGATTCAGTCACTGGGGTAATGGGAGTAGGTGAAGTTGGTACAGGATAGAACAGGGTTCAGAGCTGTTGTATATAGGGTCGCTATGAGTTGCAAGCAACTCGACGACACATAACAACAACAACAATTCCTTATGAACAAGGTCAGATTCTAAAGAAGGGTAGCTGTTTTGATTCACTGGTCACCTTAATAGGAATGGTCCTCAACCCCTGGGAGATGGAAGGGGCTTAACTGCCAAGGCCACGCTTATTTCCAAGTACAGACAGAAAGCAAGTTTTTGTATTGTCAAATTAAAAATTACTGTGTACGTGTTTTTAGACTTGGCAAGAGGAGTCTGTGCTGGGCTGGCTGGTCTGGGGCCAACCCCCATGTCTGGCAAGGGAAGAAGGACCTCCATGCATGTTTGGGAAAGCATGTGTCACTGACTTCTGATCTTACAGCTTCTTCTCAAATTCTTGGTGCTCCCAGCCCTCAGAAACAGCCTCTACATAGTCTATCCTGCAGTGGCACCAAAGCAACAGGGATATAGGATTTAGAAGCAGCCCACACAGCCCCACGAGAGCTTAGTTTATCAGTACAGAGGACACTGCCCAGACCAGCTGTCAGATCTACCAGGCAGCTAAGCCTATCTGCACTTCCCTTTTGTGCTCCAGGCCCTTTTACAGGGTACGGTCCCATCTTCAGAGGACCATAAAGCAGAGCAAACATAGTGGCAGGATTCTGGTTCCCAAACACAAATGAAAGCATGTGATGGAGCTCCTCCCCCATGACAGTGTTCTCAGGACACACGCTGTGTTTGGAGCAGGTTTGCTCCCAGCTGCTGGAACTTTGTTTCCTGCAGCAGCATTTAGAGAGTTGTTTTCAGACATGGAAGAATAAACACTAAACTAGCTCTCGATTGCATGTTCTGTGGCCGCTTGCTTGTTTTATGTTTCCTGCTTCAAGGCAGGAAACTGTTCGGATTTTTTTTTTTAAAAAAAAAGAAATTATCAGAGAATGAGGAGAGGGAGGCCCACCACCCACTCAGGCTGTAGACTCCTGGTGCTAGGTGGGCTGCTTCCTTTGCCTGTTCCCACTACCCTCCCTCCCCCACACCCTCTCCCCATCTGTGGTCCTGTAGGAGCTCCTTGGAGACCTGGCAGGTCCTAGAGGTGCCTCTTCTGCTTGCAAATCCCTCCTTCCCTCCAGGCCTGTTGCCCCATTGGGGAGAGTTCATTCCTGCCTCCCATTGGCTGAGGTGGGCACTCTTTCACTGACTTCTCCCTGACAGCGTTGGAGAGCAGCACTCAGCAGCCTGCATGGGCCCAGCTTCCTTCCCCCTTGACCCCATCATGTGGGTGTATAATGGCCACACAACATGCAGTTCGGCTCTGGGATCTGTAGTGAAGTTTCTGTATGGAATATGTCTTAGTAGCTGTATGTTTTTCCAGCTTCTAAGAAATTCAAGAAATTGGGAAAAGCATCAGCTCTCCTCCTGCTGTATGTTTGACGTCTTCCCTTTCCACCTCACCTGCATCCCCAGGCATAACCCCTTTGTCCTCATTTGGGGCCCAGGAGGCCCTCACCCAGGTGTTGCCCAGGCCGCCCTCCAGACACTCAGCCCAGACTTAGGCGTTGGTCCTCTTTGCTGGCCCGCCCATCCACTGTGGTCCTGTGTGCTTCCAGAGGTGTTTGTGGGAGCAGGAGGTGCACATAGCTGATGCTGTGAAGCATCCCATTCTCCTGTCTTCTCTGGCTCCCTCCTGTCCTCCTCACGTTCCAGGGTCTCAGAGCCTCTGTAGACTCTGAGATGAGAGTGCTGTTGGCTCATCTCTCGTGGACGTGCACAGAGCATAAGGCTACATGTGTAAATCCACCACTGAGTGTGAACCCATCCGTGCAGGGCAGGCTTGGCAGAGAGGACTAGCGGAGTCAGGGCCAGGACAGTAGTAACGGAAAGTCCCCTATGTGCTCGCCAAGGCTGAAGTCACATGACGGGTAACTGGACATGCCTGTCCATTGGGACATTGTAAAAAAATGGTGAGAGGAGGTCAGCCAATAAAAATCTCCTTGAGAAGTGCCAATGCCATGATGGAAAATAAGAACATGACCCTGGGAGGGGAGTGGAGAGACATGGCCGTGCTTGGCCCCATGTGCACAGAGGGTCCAATGGAGGGTGTGTCCATCTCTTTCTAGGGTGAGATTGGCCCCATTGGGCCTAAAGGATACCGAGGTGATGAGGGACCCCCCGGTACTGAGGTGAGTAACTCTCTCTGCCCCTCTCTCATCTTGACCCTTCATTCTAATGTTGCACCTCACTTGCTCTGGCCTCCCCGCCCCCAGCATCCTCTACTCTCACTCTTTCCCTGGAAGAGGGAACCCCTGGAAGAAACTTCGGGCTGGGAAAAGGCTACCCCAATTCAGTTTAGCTTATTAATGTCCATTTTTATTTTATAGTTTGTGAGTTTTAGAAAATTTGAAGACATTGTTAAACATTTAAATTAATACCTTCTAAAATTTTACACACCCCCCCCCAGAGAGAACAAATATGGACATTTTGGTTGGTTTATCGCCAATTTCCCTTTGAGTATCATTCTTAAAAGTTTGTCATCCTATGATTTTTATTTTAAATATTGTAGACATTTCCCTAAAACCTTGATAATTTAAAAAACCAAATTACTGATCATCACTTATAACAGTCACACCTGTAGTCAGAGTGTGTGTTTGTTCAAACTCCTGATGTTGGGCTGGTAGACGGACCCTGCCGGCACACAGTTTTGCAGCCATGTTCCATGGAACGCCACCACATGGATAAGCCTGTGCGTGGAATTACTGGGCAGAAGGCGTAGCACACCAGGGGCCCTGCCCTACTCAGTCCACGCCAAGACTATCCCTAAATGCTTTCTTTTAATCTTTGCCACATTGATGTGTGAGATGTTATTTGACGAGGCTCTGTCCACATCCCTCCCTGACTTTGACTTAGTTTTTAAGAGTAGCCTTCTCTCTCTTTAGGGTGTCAGAGGTGTCCCAGGACCAGCAGGCCCCCCCGGAGACCCTGGACTGATGGGTGAGAGGGTGAGTAACCGCCCACCCAGAGCACTGAGCAGCTACCTGTCAGCAGGTGGACGTCCCCTGGGAGCACGTTCCTGTTCTGGAGGGGCTGAGGGGCTGGCTGGGCTGGTTTTGTCCCCCTGTGGGCAGATGGCCTTGAGTGTCACAGGTGGGCAGCGGCCATGGGCCATGGCAGCTCCTGCAGTGACTGCTGACCCTGCCTGCTCTTTCCTCAGGGTGAAGATGGCCCCCCTGGAAATGGCACTGAGGGCTTCCCCGGCTTTCCTGTAAGTTCCTTCAGCCGTCCACCACCCTGCAGTGTCCTCCCTTTGATGTGATGCCACTCCCTTTGGCCATCTGGGCACTTGGACAAGCTGAGTTAAACCCAGGACTCAGTGCAGGCCCAAAAAAATATATTGATGGGGTTGGTTCCTCCCTGCGATGGGTCCCTCAGACCTGTGTGTGATGTGACGGAGGGCAAAGTTCCTGCTGGCCTGGCATGACTGTCCTGCCTTTCCATCCACAGGGGTATCCAGGCAACAGGGGCCCTCCTGGGATCAATGTGAGTACACCCCCACTGCTCTCTGTGCACACAAACAAGCTTGTGCATGTACACATTGTGGACACATACACATTCACATGACATGGGACCGAGAGCCGAGTCCCAAGACAGCCTCACATGGCCTGATGCACCGCCATGGGCTGGCTCTATCAGCAAATCCAGCAAACCCTGGCTTACTCCCCACCTACCAAGTCCATCCTTCAAGCCAATGCCTGGGCTCAGGGATATGGGCTCCAGCCACAACCCCCCCTCCCCCAAAGATCAGAGTTCCAAGGGTCAGTGGGCTGCTAGTCCAACACTATGGACTGACCTGCATGTCTTCCTGTCACTCACAGGGCACTAAAGGCTACCCTGGCCTCAAGGGGGATGAGGGTGATGCTGGAGAGCCAGGAGATGACGTAAGTGTTGGTTCTGGGGTGGGAGGTGGGGCTGGGATGGGGATGGGAACCACGAACTCCAAGGCCCCTGTGAACACTATGGGTGGGTGTTAAGTGTAGGGGTCTTCCTGGGAGGCAGCCACATGACCAACACTGCTGAGGGTCTTTCTGTGTAGAAGCTCGGGCATCCAGGCAGGTATGACATGATGCTATTTTCTTCCAGAACAATGATATTTCACCCCGAGGTGCCAAAGGAGCCAAAGGGTACCGGGGTCCCGAAGGCCCTCAGGTGAGAACCCTCGCCAGACTTGTCCTGGGGAGGGCGAGAGATGGTGTCTAGAGAGAGGCTGGAGATCTGGGGGCAGAAGCAGAGGGGGCTGCACAAAGAAGTGTCTGGAAGTCTTAAACACAATGAGATGTGAAGGAGGAGGGGTGCACTTGACAGGGGAACCCAGAAGGGCAGAGGCCCAGCGTGGGTCAGTGCAAGGGAGTGAGGTAGACACCAGGGTAGGACAAGTGAGGGAGAAAAGTTGTGGGACTGCCCTGGAATAACACTCAGTTTCCTAAAGACCCCGAGTCCAGGCCATCCAGAGGCCTAGGGGACATTTTAGATCCCCGATGGGTGGTGGTCTGATGGCAGCCTTCCCAGAGCATCACTGGCCCTGGATCGAGGTCTGTGTTCATTTGTAGCTTTGTACTTGACAGACTGTTGTCTACTGTATGGACCAAAGGCCTGTGTGGTGTGCTCCCAGGAGTGGGACATGCTCAGATGTGGGGGGAAGGTGGCCTGGCGGGGTGAAGGAGGGAAAGAGTTCTCGCTTCAGATCTTCTCTCTGGTTCCATCCTAACAGGGACCCCAAGGAGACATAGGACCACCAGGACCAGATGTAAGTGGTTGTCTAGAAGCCATCCTGGGTCCCTCACTGACTGAAGGCCCCACATATGAAAGCGCATGTAGCCTGCCTGGGAATGGAGGGGTGCCACCCCGGAGGCTGCTCGGAACCCCTGTGTGCTCAGGCAAGGGCAGGTGGATCAAGGTCACCTAGAGTCCTCACTCTGCAGCTCATGCAGCCTGTGCCCTTCCAGCCAACCCCTCACCCCAGGCAATGGGGACCCCGGGGCTCCCATCACCACCTCTGAGCATCTGTGCCTGGACTTCTGCTGTAAGGGCAGGACGATTAGCTGAGCCTCGCTTTGCATGCAGGCGTGCAGGGGTCAGGGGAGGGAAGGGTGCACCCAGAAAATGATAGTCGGTCCAAGGAGGTCCCATGCCTATGGCTCTTCCCTCCGCAGGAGTGTGAGATCTTGGACATCATTATGAAAATGTGCTGTGAGTATTACTGGCCGTTTGGATAATGGTCTTAATTAGAACATCCTCTCCTCCTCCTCCTTTTCTGACCAGTGTACCTGGGACCCGTGTTTGTAGGAAGTGTGTCAGGAAGGGAGCAGGAGGGAGGGGCTGGTGATCATGCTGAGAAAATGGGGTGCAGAGCAGGAATACGCCCCTGTGACAGGTAGATCTGACTACTCTCACCATCCTGCTCAAACTGCCCTATCAAGACAGCCTGTTCAGATTCTCTGAATGCCCAGAGCATCCTCTGCTGTCAGCGCGGGACAGAGAGGCATGGGGTGCTGGCCTGGAAAGTTTCTGTCTCTAATTTAGAAAACAATATGGGAACTTAACTGTGGTTTAATTGCCTCTTTCCCCTCTTTTCCCTAGCTTGCTGTGGTGAGTATAACATTCTGATTCATCAGAAAATTCCTCAGGTGTCTTTACCTTTTAAAGAACAATAATATTGTGGTGGGGGAGGGGGCAGTTCACTTGCCTGAGTGGGTGTCCAGCCAGCATTGCAGCTCCTGCCCTCCCACCAAAGCTCCTTCACAACACTCCTTCCCAACACTCCTCCACACCCCCACCTACATGTCCGCCCACCCACCCATCTACTTATTCTCCCTCACTCCACCAGTGCACGTCACCCCTGTTCACACATGCCTGGGGCACAGAGCCATCTTCACATTCTCTTTGCCAGAAACACCAGCCCCTGGACCTGCTCCTGACCCATCTGCATGGTCTCCCTGCCCACTCAGTGGAGGGGCAATGGTCTAACCAGAGATGGGTGTCCCACCTCTCCTGGAACAGGCGACACGTGGGCCACACTGGGCCACACTGCTGGGGGTGGGTGAGGCTGCTCCCACTCTGCATACAGAGTCTGGGGGCTGACTGCCGCCTGCCCTGCCCTGCAGAGTGCAAGTGCGGCCCCATCGACATCCTCTTCGTGCTGGACAGCTCCGAGAGCATCGGCCTACAGAACTTTGAGATCGCCAAAGACTTCATTATCAAGGTCATCGACCGGTTGAGTCGGGATGAGCTGGTCAAGGTGAGCTGGGCAGCACTGGGCACCACAGGCATGGGCACCCATAAATGTAGGGGTATCTGTTCTGGTGGAGCCCACAGGGCAGGAGGAGGCAGAAGAGCCTGATGTTGGTGGGGGTTCTGAGAGACTAGGTCCCTTTGACTCCACCAAGCAAAGACAGCCCACCTCCCCTCCCTATCCCCCAGCACTGCCCTTCACAGTAAAAATGATGGGTTACCACAGGGACAGACACATGTAAAGGAGCCTGGAAAACAGGGGTCTCAGTCAACATCAACTGAGGGGTCGGGGGCATGTGTGAATTAGGGACCTGACCTGCCTGTTTAGGGCAATCCACAAGGGTGATGCTTCCCCATCTGATCTCTCAGGATGGCTGCTGCCAGCCCCTCTGCTCCACTTCAGTGTGGGCCAACATGGGACCCTATCTTTATACCCCTGTCTCTGAAAGACCCCTGATGAGGGTCTGCACCAGCCAAAACAGGAGCTGGGCCATGCAGAAATCAGTTCTGGCCCGGTGGTGAGGTCACAGTCCCTCATGGCTCCTGAAGTGACATCATGTCTTCAAATTCTGACCTCAGACCTTGATTGAGAGTTGAGGGATGCACATGTGTCCAAGCAGGAATGGGAAGGGATGTGCCCACGGGGAGGCGGAGTACCCATGGGAAAGGTCACGCTCTGACCCACGACCCCTATCTTCAGGTACTGCATTGCTTCCCCCAGATGCGGCTCATGCCCCCCCCCCCGCTGCATGATCGTGCAGTTTGAGCCTGGACAGTCACGTGCGGGCGTGGTGCAGTACAGCCACAACCAGATGCAGGAGCACGTGGACATGGAGAGCCCCAACATCAGGAACATGCAGGAGCTCAAAGAGTGAGTCCACGTGGCACAGCTGCCCATCATCCAAGATCTCAGCTGAGGGCTCCAGCCCTGACCCCTGCCTGACCCCCCACCTGGGCCCTGACTTTGGTCTCCCACCACACAGAGCCATCAAGAAGCTGCAGTGGATGGCGGGGGGCACGTTCACGGGTGAGGCCCTGCAGTACACCCGGAGAAACCTGCTGCCTCCATCCTCCTCAAACAACCGCATTGCCCTGGTCATCACAGATGGCCGCTCAGACACCCAGAGGGACCCCACGCCCCTCAACGTGCTCTGTGATGCTGGCATCCAGGTGGGGACCTGCCTGCAGGAGATGCCCTGTGTGTGTTCAGGGAGGGTGTGTGGGCCTTGCCCTGTGAAGGTGGCCAGGCCATGACGTGTGTGGGTGTTGGCGTGGACACCCCTTCTCCCCACAGGTGGTCTCCGTGGGTGTCATGGACCTGTTCGGCTCCTCCCCAAGCCCTGACCAGCTGAACGTCATCTCCTGCCAAGGCCTAGCACAGCGCCGGCCAAGCCTGTCACTAGTCAAGGAGAATTATGCAGAATTGCTGGAAGACAGCTTCCTGAAGAATGTGACTGCAGAGATCTGCATAGGTGGGCACTGGGGCCACAGTCAGGGCTGTGGGTTAGGAACCATCCCCTGCCCCCCAGCTTTGCTGGGAAATCACACCAAGTAACAGGAAGTCTGAGTCCATCTGCTCCCAGCCAGCATTGTAGCCATGGGAATCAGAACCCTGGCCTAAGAATGGCCTTCCTTCCTCTCGAAATGCCTCAGACTCTCAAGCACACAGTGTGTCCAGAATTCTGGGTCTGCTCTGTGTCTCCAGTTTCCAGACCAGGGCCTGTGATCCCACGTGGGTGTTGCATCAGAGAGACAGGTCACTTACACACACGTGTGAAGGCCACCTTGAGCCTGTTTGCTCACTTACACTTGTGGGTACACTCTCTGTGGCCGTCCAGGGCCAGCACAGCAAATCTGATTCCAGCAAGGCAGGCAGCCGGCAGCCAGAGCGCTGCTGGGGTCTCAGTAGGGCCATGCTACCAATGGGCTGGTGGTCCGTGTTGCTGGGGGCAGCATGGTACTGGGTACAACCAAAGACTTTATGTCCAGAGGCCAGAGTGAGCCTCTCATAGGTGCCCTGTGACCTGCAGACCTTTCCCTTTCCTGAGACTTTCTCCTCCAGTTCCCCTAACTCACAGGATGGGGTGAGCACCTAGTAGAGCCAGGGGTCCATTTCTGTAACCTTCAGGGTCCTCCTTGATGAGGAGTTCTGACAGGGAGACCGACTCATCTTCTCAAGCCATGCTTCTCCTGGAGAGGCAGGCTAACCTAAGTAGGAGGGTCACCTACCCGTACACTGCCACCCCTGTGTGCCACCTGGGAACACACTAGCATCATGATATTGTAGGGTGACAGGCAAACCACAGTTTCCCATCAATGACATTTTTCCTCTTACAGACAAGAAGTGTCCAGATTACACCTGCCCAGGTGAGTACTCGTGCGCCAGTGGTTGGCGTTGGGGAGTGGGACATAGTATTGGCGGGGGCATTTGCTGAGGCAGGAGAAGCCTCCAGATGGAGAAAAACGTGGGTGGGGCTGGGGGCTGGTCACATGTGGCAGGGTGACCCCACGCCCATGTCCCCCGGCGAGGCTGGGCCAGGTCCACTGCAGCTGTGAAGCCCGTGGCCCAGCCCCATGGCGGTGCTAATGGCTGCCTGTCCCCCTCCCGCCCCCACAGTCACGTTCTCCTCCCCGGCGGACATCACCATCCTGTTGGACGGCTCGGCCAGCGTGGGCAGCCACAACTTCCAGACCACCAAGACCTTCGCCAAGCGCCTGGCGGAGCGCTTCCTCACGGCCAAGCACAAGGACCCGGCCCACGACGTGCGCGTGGCCGTCATGCAGTACAGCGGCACCGGGCAGCAGCGGCCCGAGCGCGCCGCCCTGCAGTTCCTGCAGAACTACACGGTGCTGGCCGGCGGCGTGGACAGCATGGGCTTCCTCAATGACGCCACCGACGTCACGGACGCCCTGCGCTTTGTCACCCGCTTCTACCAAGAGACCTCCTCGGGCCCCGCCAAGAAGCGGCTGCTGCTCTTCTCCGATGGCAACTCGCAGGGCGTGACCGCGGCTGCCATCGAGAAGGCCGTGCAGGAGGCCCAGCGGGCGGGCATCGAGATCTTCGTGGTGGTGGTGGGCCAGCAGGTGAACGAGCCCCACATCCGCGTGCTGGTCACTGGCAAGACCGCCGAGTACGACGTGGCCTTTGGCGAGCGCCACCTCTTCCGGGTGCCCAGCTACCAGGCCTTGCTCCGCGGCGTCTTCTACCAGACTGTGTCCAGGAAGGTGGCGCTGGGCTAGCGCCCCCTCGAGGGCGCCGCCGCCGGTCCTCCCCGCCCTTCACTACAGCAGAAGTCAAAACGTGATGTGAATTTCCCCCACGGGCCTGATTGCCCAGAGTGTTTTAAAAAGGAAAAGCAGAAGCAGTAGCTACGAGTAGCTATGCTCAGCAGAAAACTCCTTCCGGCTCCTTCCCCTTCCTGCTGTGTGCGCATCTGCTCTCTGCTGGAATCGGCCCGCCTTCCCTCCCATGCAACTCAGGCTCGCTCTGTCCGTCTCCTTTCCATTAACCAACAAGTCAGATGCCCCTAAAGCTTCGTGGGATCTTTTCTTTCGGGATATTGGTTGCACATGGCCTCCTCTTCCCAGCCCTACTTGCAGCTTAATTTCTTTTTTTCCTTCACTGGCCCTGCCAAAGCCTTCTTTTAAACATTTCATTTAGCCTTCAAGCAAATTGTACTGCTTAATTTGTGTAAGCTGTTGGGCTGTGTTTCATTTTTGGGAAACTAGATTGAGAGGGTTTTTGTTTTGGGGGTTTTTTTAAACACAGACCTTGATGAGTCAGCGTCTTGAGATTCTCATGCTAAGGGACCCTGGACCTTGATTCCCAAAACCCCTGGAAGCTCTACGCTCAGGGCAAGAGCAGAGAAGAGCAACTCATTCACCTCATGTGCTTTCAGATTCTGAGAATAAAGGTGCTACCCCACCTGGGGTCTTCCTCTCACATCATGTGCTCAAAACATGGTTCCTGGACGGGCCCATTCCCATGGAGTCATGAGCAATGTGTTTTATTAAAAACAATCCAAGGTTCTTTTTCCTCAAATTAATGATCTATTTTTATTTTCATGGAAATCCTTTTTATATGTTAGTTTTATTTTCACTCCTTCCAGTGTTGTTTTTATCCCCGTTCATGTCCATGCCAACAATTTCTCCAAATAAAGACGTTCTATCATTTCTCCATGGTCATCTTTCCAATAGGTTAAAATCCCACCTGTGTTTGCATTTCTCACCCTGTTGTCGTGTCTCTTGATTAATTTGTGACTCATAGCAACTTCTCATGACAGAGAAGAGCTGTCTCATGAGATTTTCTTTGCTATAAACTTTACTTAAATTATCTGGTCTTTCTCCCACCCAGATGGAGAAAGCATACAATAATATAGGGGGAGTTCGCCTGTGATGGGGTGCCCAGTAGAATGCTCATCACCTACTCTTACTCCATCATGCCATTGTCTGGGTGCCATCCATGCAACTGTTCACCCACACTTCTTGTCTGAGTCTTGAAGGATGGAACTCATGACACAAAGACCGCTTCTTTCGGGGGTGGGACTGAGAGACGGGCCTCCAATATCTCAGGTTACAGAAAAAGTAGTTAATTAGGTCTTGACAGATTGAGACAAATGATCAGATACAGTGATATTAAGTCTCAAAAGAACCAGTGTCAACTCCTGTATTCTGGTACTAAGATTACCCTCAAAGTTCCATAATGGGGATCAGGATCCAAGAGGACTTTGGAGGAAGGACAAAGTCCTGGGGAATTTGAGGGTGAATATGGTATCCCTCCCTCAATGAGCTAAGCTCAAGTTTCACCATCAGTGTGGTTTCTGGCCAAGGGAGGGTTTGTGTGAGAAGGAGGTTTATGGAGAAGCAGATTCTGGCTTAATTTCAAAAGGTAGTAGTAATACTACTTTAGTGCCTTGGTTTTTTAGCACTGATATAACAGAAATACCAAACATTGGTGGATTTAGGGAGCTGCAATTTATTTTCTCCCAGTTTAAGAGCCAGTCTCTTTCTCCATCCCCACTCCACGCGCGCGCGCGCGCGCACACACACACACACACACACACACACACGTTCTAAACTTCTAATTGGCCCTCCAGAATGTTTTCCAAGGCTGTAAATTGCATGGAAGGTGATTACTCATCTTTCTCTCGAGGAGCCACTGGTGGATTCAAATTACCAGAGAGCTGTGGTCTTTAGGTCTTTGTGAACTCTGTCCCCAGAGCTCCCCACTTAGGAGGTTTGATCGCTGAATTCAGGGCGTAGGCTTTAGGGAAAGGGTTTCTCTTGCAGCTTTTGTTACAGCCTCTGTTCTTTGGTTCCTTGGTGATACTCAGATGGCATCTATCTTCCAGTTTATATTTTCTCATCTCTGTTCTTGATCTGTTATAACTCAGAAATGACTAGAGGTAGAATACACCCTGCACTGATAGGGTCTTATTAACATAGCATGTTAAGATCCTATTCCAAATGGGATTATGTCCACAGGTGTAGACTTTAGGGTTTCATAGAATTTAGGATTCCTACATATAATTTTAGGGAGCACAATTCAATCCACAACACCTAGTCGTGAGAACCACAGAGTTGTAAGTGCTCATGTCTCCCCACCTTAGAAGGTTACTGAGGGTGAATCAGGGAACACAATGTGGGTTTGGTCATCAAACTGGAGCTGAGTGCGAGCTATCAGTGGGGTGGACATGCAGCGCAGAATCAACACTCATCAATCACCATCGGTGATTCAGAGAAGCAGACAGTGTGACCTCCAAAGGGTCCTCACTAGGAAGGTACTTGGGAAACATCTCTCAGGTGTGACTGTCTTTCTTTTGACTGCAGGTGAGTCTGACTGTCCAAGTAGGTTATGGGAAGGGACACCTCTGGCGTGACCACTTGCCATATAGAAAGCTGTAAGAAGACCAGCCACCAGGCCATGGCTGCACAGGGAGGGTGCCCCTGAGGTCCTATCTAGTACAAGTGGAGGACAGATACTTCAACATAGGCTGGAAGAGAGAAAGAGAGAAGAAAGAATGCTGAGAGATGAATGGATGAAATTAGCAAGCACCAGCATGCTTTCTATAGTCTCCAGAGTGTGCAGTTCATTGAGAGAGCTTTTTTGCCCTTGGGTGGTGTTACACACAGAAGCCACAAAAGCCAGGCAGCTGTAGTGGTAAAGACGCTGTTCATGTAGGTTTCCATTCACATAGTAGCCATTCAAGAGCTCATGCTTTGTGGTAGAAACTAAGAGTCCACAAGCCATATTCTGCAAGTCCATGTCAATCCCAGACAGGTTGTGAAGCCATCTCCCTATAACCACTTATAACTTTGATTAAGCAACTTAATATGTTACACGGAGTTTTGCAGATGTAGTTAAGGTTTCTAATAATTTGACTTCTACCAGTTGTTCATCAGTTTTCTGTACAGAGATGGTGGGTGCTATTCCACTGACATTTCAAATGCAAGTAGGGTCACCTTTGGTGGGCAGGTTTCAGTGATGCCTCCAGATGAAGACAGACTAGGAAGCAGGACTAAATATCTATCTGTTCCCAAAATCATGGACTTGGGAAGATCCTATGAATAGGAACAGAATATGTTTTATATAGTGGCAGAAGATGAGTCACCCAGGTTGGAAGGCATTCGAATTGGAGAAGAGCTCCCTTCTCAAAGTATGTTGTTATGGACTGTTGAACCATCTATGACTCATAGCGACCCTATGAACAACTCTGAATCTTACCCTATCCTGAACCAACATCACCATCCCTGACACACCTAATTCCTTGACACAGTCACTGTGTCAGTCCATCTCATCAAGGGTCTTTCGCTCCTAAACTGACTGGCCACCCTTCCAAGTATAATGTCCTTCTCCAAGGACTGGCCCCTCCTGACATCATGCCCGAAGTATGTCAGATGGAGCTTCAAAATCCTTGCCTCCAAGAAGTAACCTGTTTTCAGCCTTTCCAAGACAGACCAATTTATTTTTTTTTCTTTTGGAATTACATGGTATGTTCCATACTCTTCTCCAGCCCCACAACTCAAAGGAACTGATTCTTTTTCTGTCACTCTTAGTCATTGTCTAGATCTCAGATGCATAGCAAGCATTGCAAGACCACAGTTTGGATCAGATACACCTTAGTCTTTAGAAAGACATAGTTGCTCTTTAACACTATGGAGAGGTCCCTGACAGCATATTTTCACAATGCATCCCACCTTTTGATTCCTGACTGTTGGATCCAAGGCTGTTGATTGTGGAGCTGAGCAAGATGAAATTGTTAATTTCAATTTTTTCCTACCTATAATGATGTTACCTATTGGCCAGGTAGTGAGGGTATTTATTTTCTTGATGCTGAGATGCAGTCTGTATTGAAGGTTGCAGGCTTTGATCTTCTGCAGCAAATATCTCTAATCTTGCGCAGTTTTAGTTAGCATGGTGTCATCTGCATAATGCAGGTTGTTGATGAGTCTTCCTCCAATCTTGATGCCACATCTTTCTTCACAAAGTCCAGCCTTTCAAATTATCTGTTCAATACATAGATTTGAAGAGGAACGGAGAATGGATACATCTCTGATGTATTTGATTTTGTACCATACAGTCTCCCCTTGCTCCATTTGGACAAAAGCTTCCTGGTCTAGGTATAGTTTTCTCTTGAGCACAATCAAGTGTTCTGGGATTCCCATTCTTCTCAATGCTAGCCACAATTTGTGATCCACACACTCAGGTGCCTTTATTTAGTCAATAAAATATAAATAGACATTCTTCTTGTACTCCGCACTTTCAACCAAGATCCATCTGACATTAGCAATGATATCAATAGTGCCGTGGGGGAGTTGGTCTTCTGAACTTAGCTTGTATTTCTGCAGTTCTTTGTCAATGTTCTGTTCTAGTCGTTTTACTTTAATGATGTAAATGAAGTAAAGCTCTCAGCCAATTAAGTACCTTCACCTACTGATGTGGCTTGATTTGAAAGAAGGAGAAACAGCTATGTTAGTAATTAGAATGTATAATGTATGAAGCATGAACCTAGGGGACTGGAAGTTGTAAAAAAATGAAATAGAAGGCATAAAGAGCTGTATCCTAGGCATTAGTGAATGGAAATGGAGTGGTGTCGGTAATTTTGAATCTGACAATCATATGAGCTATTGTGTTGGAAATGACAACAAAGAATGTTGTCTCATTCATTGGTAAAAAATAACATTTCAAGATATAACCTGAAGTACAGGCCTGTCAACAATAAGCTAATAAGCATATACTTACAAGGAAGAATTGTTGATATGACTATTATTTAAATTTACATATCAACTATTAAAAGCAGCAATGAAAAAACTGGGAA